GGCAGCAACGCCTTCTTTCTTTGCGTGAACATTTGGGCGGCATTATGCAAATCTTCCCACATCGTAATGTAGACATTTGGGAGCGTGTTTGAACGAGGCGTTTTAAGAGGGAATGGACGAGTCTTAACTTTTATAAAGAATATCTCTTTGGGTTTGAGACTTTAGTCTTTGCAACTTTAGGGATCTTATCTATTCACAAACAGCTTGTAACACTCCAAAGAGAAGGGAAAACTTCAAATCTTTAATGAATCATTTATACACCATCAACTAAAAATTAGATCACTTCCACGGCATTTTGGGTAATAAGACATCTATCATGGTGGTTGTGATAAATACTTAATAGATAATTGCAGATAAATAATTGTAACAATAAAAAAATAATAATAAATACATAAGTAATCTTACAAATATAACATACTATGATGATGCTATTATCTGAAACATTACATATTCTGAAAAAATATGAATGGCACTCACACACAGGTGTTTCCACAAGTGTAATTATATTGTGTGAATTATAGATTGTGTGTTTGATGTGGTTTGAGATCAAAGTGAAAAATTAATTAGAGTTTTTGTACAGCTTCACACAGACTTTTTAGACTTTTAAACTCTTAGAGCACATTAACAGAGAGCTGAATCTGACAGAGTTACACTAGTAATAGTGAGTTCAGTGGATGTTTCTGATGAAGTCGACTGAAAGCGACGATCAGCAATTGCTGTTTGGGATGTTTTATATAGCCTAATTTCACAAAGCTAAAGTCAGTACATTCTGTTTTTGCTTCAGGTTTTGAAATGATACAGTCTAATTTAGATCAAAATATAGGCTATATAAAGCAACTAATCATATTCTTCATGCACTCTTTCTTGTCTTTTGCTTAAATAAAATACATTAAAAATCAGTATTGGATTCTGGCATGAAAAGTTAAGATCAGTGCATCCCTAAATTTTAGAATGTCTTAAATGAAGATATTTAAATAGCTAGCTGAGTTAAGTGAGTTTTTTATTTATTTATGCAGTTTTTGTGTGAATGATCAGTGGTGGAATTGGCTGCGATGCAAGGGGCACCAGCTAAAATATTGCCTAGGGCACCAAATTGGTCAGGGCCGGCCCTGGGTTCTCTATTAGGATAGGAGACCAGTAAAGTGTAACATAGCTGCTGCTTGTATCATATGAGCAGCTCAATCTCACAGACTCTCCTTCTGTACTGATGACATTTACACCCTTATTTGGCCCAATCTGGTTTGCAGTCATTGCACCTGCAAACATGAAAATAAATATTTGCTTACAGTTTAAAAATCACTTGAGTTAAATTCAGTCACATTACACATTATCTATTTTCCTTAGCACTGGCATCAAAGAGTATTTTACCTGAAGTCATGATTAAAATCAGAACCAAGTGTCTGTCCATGTTTACTACGTCAGATCTGTTCTGTTAATGCTCTTCTGTTCTCTGGGTTGTGATGCTCTGACTTTCTGCAGGAACTGAGTCATACAATCAATCTGGATCTTCCTGCTCTCTGTTGATGATGATGCTCATTTTGGTAAATTAATTAAAGAGGTAGAGAAGCAGATCTGTAAATGACATATGTTATTTATTAAATAAAAATGAGGAGCTAATGATTCTGTACAATTAAGTTTAATTCTGTAGTAGTTTCCTACCACCCCCGCCCCCCCCCCAAAAAACC